TGCAGTGAAAGGAGGCAGTGGTAAACATGTGGATGGAGTTGGGAAATGAGGTTCGTGACTCCTGGGTCCCCCTCCCTGACTGCTGCCTTTGACAGGTCACCCCCCTTCTCTGCGCATTGGCTCCCGCGCCTGTAGCTGGGGGGCAGCAGTGCTGAGGGCGGGCTGGACCAGGGCACTGCGTCACTGCACCTGCAGCAGCCTCCGTACCCCAGGGAGGCCCCCAGAGCCGCTCCCTCTATCCCTGCACGTGCCCCCTCAGTGAGTGACTTGACCCAGTGTGTGGCCCTTGACCTCCAGCTGTGGCTGCTGTTATCTGCAGCTTGGCACTATCTGTCCTATGTCAACACAATCTGGACCCCATACCCAGAATGACCTTGGAGCCACCCAGCCATGTAGCATTAGGAATCCCACCCCTCAGGGCCACTAAGAGCCATACACTCTATCTTGCTTGCCTTTTCCAGGCCCCTTCCCTGGATGCTAACCCCGGTCATGGTACCTTTGCTACAGGGCTCTATCTCTCAGCCTGCTGGGTGGCCTGGGGGATGGGACACAGCCCTCCCCACTGCAGGACACCTGCAGCCTAGCAGCCACTGCTCCAAGCAACCAGCCCAGCCTGGAGATACCACCCCCATGTAAGCTGGCAGACTCCTGGACCTGCCTGGCACTGGGCTCAATGAGCTGAGCTCCTCGGTCCCTGGGCACTGAGTCACCTCTCCTTACCTTCCAGGCTAACCTGGTGGCAGCTTTTGAGCAGAGTCTGGTGAACATGACATCCCGCCTGCGACATCTGGCTGAGACTGCGGAGGAGAAGGTGCGCACAGAAAGGAAGAGTGCAGGGGCTGGTCGTGCTGAGACCATGGCAGTTAGGAGCCTTGTTGAGCCAGACCACAGGTCTCAGCTCCCCAGTAGAGCTGAAGGATCTCAACTGGGTGGCTAAACCTGTCCACTGCAGCTGGCTGTGGGTGCTGGAGCAGAGTGCGGGCACCAAGCAGTGGGAACCTGTTCTGGGGAAGTGACCCAGGCTGCAGAGGCACTTGCCTCCTTCCACAATGGTGTCTGAGCCTAGGCTGGGTCCTGCAGAGCCACACCCTTCTTGGGTCCTCATGCTGCTGAGCCTGCCCTTCCCCTCCTCTTCACCAATCTGTAGCAAGCTAGTGGGGCATGGTACCCAGGGAATACTGGAGGGGTCTTCTGGCCAGTACTGGAAGTCTTGTCCTTCTGGGCATCCTCAGAGACTTCTGGGTATCAAGACCTTGGAGACCAGTAGTCCTCAGCTCAGCAGTGGGCACTTGCAGTGGCAGGGGGGTAGCACATGCTAGGGCACTGGGGTGCGAGTGGAAGTGGGGTGGGTGCCCCTACTGAGGGGCACAGACATATCCTCCCGGCTTCTCCTCAGGACACAGAGCTGCTGGACCTGCGAGAGACCATTGACTTCCTGAAGAAGAAGAACTCGGAGGCCCAAGCTGTAATCCAGGGAGCTCTGAGTGGGACTGATGTCACGCCCAAAGGTAAGGTGGGGCAGTGGGCCATGTTCCTAGTGCCCAGGGACCAGCACAGGCACGTCATCCAGAGTCGCTGGGGTCCTTGCCTGGGTAGGACACACCTCTTTCCCTGGTCTGGAAAGTGAAGGAACGTCCTCTATCCCCAAATTGGGACAAAGAGAGCTTACTTAGGCAGACAGGTCGTAGAATAAAGAAAAACCACACCTGTCTCTTCTCGAGAGTTATTTTATTGGAAAGCTAAACATAAGTGTAACTAGCATTCAGATAAGGCAATGGAAATACAAAAACGTACTCGTGCCTGGGAGGATGGGTATAGGCCAGACCCCAGGAACTCAGCTCTTGTTCAGTTCTTCCAGCATCTCAGGTCCCTGATTCACTTCTTCCCCCCCAGGTTTACAATCACAGATGCACAATCATTAATGACTTGTGTCTATCTACAGCCTGACTGGGTATATGTTAACAGAAGGGGTTGATCATGAAGACCACCTCCCTAGCTAAGTGAAAAATGTATGATAAATACTTAACAACTGTTTAACTACGATGGTCTCAGATGGTATCAGTTAGGTTTCTGACAGTGAGTGCTATTTCTTATGGTAATGGGTTTCAATTGCTTTGTTTGTGTTACTATGGTCAAACACTTAAGTCAGTTCTTTCTTGTTTACATCAGCAAAAATATGGACTTGTCCTTGCAAGCCTGTCTCTTTAAGAGGTTTCCCAAAGTTTGTTTCAATCCCTATAATGGAGGCATTTGTGCCAAGGCCTCTAATGTATTCCTTACAGGAAGGGGAGTAGGGGGATCCTTGGGACATGCTGGGAGGATAAAGGCACCCTTTCAGGGCAATGCTTACAGCTTCTCCAGGATAGAGGGTGGAGTGCTCTCTGCCAAGCAAGTAACTCCTTGAAAGCCAGCCCAGCCAGAACCACCATGAGCCAGCTCCTGCTCAGCCCCTGCCTCTCCACTGCCCTCTGCAGCCCATGCAGCCTATGTTGCTGTCATGGGGGTCTGTGTATGATGCAATCTGCCCAAGCGTCTTTTCCAAGGCTTGGAGGACATGCAGTCTGGAATCTAACTGAATAGAGCAACAGTGGCTGGGGTTAAGAGAGACCCCTCCAGAGTCTGCCATTCCCTACAGTGAAAACAGCTCCCTTGCCCAATCTCAGCTTTCCTAGTGCTTCTGTAGCAACAGCAGCCTGTTCATCCCAGGCAGGCACTCAGAGGATTAACATAAATTCACTGCCCAGGCCAGCATATCCAGCCGTCACCTGAAAATCCAGGTTCAAACCTTGTCAGAGTGTGGGGCTGTGTCACCACTGCAGTCTGCTGAAGCTGCCAGCACTTTGCTGCAGCCTCATGCTGCAGTCACAGTCGTTCCGAGGACACAGGTGTTTTCAGCATTAGCACACATGTTTGGTGCTGATCTGGTGTGATGCTTACATCCAAAGTCTGCATAGAGCCTGGAGTGAGCTGAGAGTTGCTTACTTCCATTGGTTCAGTCATACCAATAGAAAGGCCCCCTAGGATACTAAAGGACCATCAGATGGTGCCAAAGGGTCTCCAAAGCCACAGATTTAGGGAAGACAACCTCTTCAACAGGATGGGAGCCTCGGAGTACTAGGTGAGGTGAGAGCAGAGTACAGAAATTTCCAGGAGGGCTGCTGCAGAGGGTGGGGCTCCAGAGAACAAAGCTCTTGCACTCTTGGCATTGGGGTGAGCAGGAGACAGAAGGGATGTGGGCACAGGGCCTGAGAACTGATACATCAGGCTGCTTATAACGAGGAGGTTCTGAGTCTCTCCCATTTTCCTCCCTGGGACCCCAGAGCTACGCATCAAGAGGCAGAACTCCTCAGACAGCATCTCCAGCCTCAACAGCATCACCAGCCACTCCAGCATTGGCAGTGGGAAGGACGCTGATGCCAAGAAGAAGAAGAAGAAGAGCTGGGTAGGTTGTGGGGGGGCTGGAATGAAAGCATGTGGAAATCCAGGCAGGATCTGGCCAGGGGAGCTGCTGTGCTCTTGCAGCAGATGATGCCCATGCAGCTTGGGGCAGTACCCTTAGCACATCTCCCACAAGGCAGTTACTTGGAGTCCTGGAACTGCTGTCTGCCCTGTGGGAGTGTACGTGAGGAGCTCCTGTGGCAGAGCTGTTCTGGTATTGGCTTCTGGCAGAAGCTGAATTCACTGGCCAGGTGTGGAGCTCAGCCTTCTCCAGCCCTCTCTGGGAGCTCTGCAGCCCAGTACCATTCCTGAATGGGCATCCACCATCTTTCCCACAAGCATTAGCCCTAGCCAGACAAGAGTAGGGACTAGTCTGATGGCCCCACCCTTACACTAGCACTCCTGGGCTCAGTGGGATGGTCGCCCTCCATTCCCAGCCCAGACGAGGTCCCAGCTCAGGCTAAGGGGCAGCTGCAGGAGGCCAAGCTGAGGAGACTTCCTAGCCAGGCATTGACCCAGGTCCCCAGCAGCTCAGTGCAGGCAGGTCTCAGAGCTGAACACATGATTAAGTCTTGCTCTGTTTTTTTTCCTCCCCCAATGCTGACCTCAACCTTTTTTTTCCAGGTATACGAGGTAAGTCTTATACTGCTCCCTCCCTGTCTCTCATGTTATGCTCCCCTGTCCATGACAATCACTCCATTTCCTGTGGGACAGCACATACAGAACTAATCATCCCATCCATTACACTGGTGCTAACCTCCCTTGGAGCATGGTCCATCCGTGGTACCATCTGGGCCACCTGCTGCGCCGGTGCCAGGGCACTGCTTCCTTATGGTCTGGCTAGCATTAAAGCCAAGTTTTCGGTGCTCAACTCCTATTAGGCTCTCACCAAGGGGAGTGAGGCACTGATGCCTGAATTGTCAGAAATGACCAGCACTGCTGGGAGTGCCCAAGTTCTGGTCCCTGACACATCTTCCTCCAGGTGGCAATTGTTCAAAGATCATCTCAGAGAGATGTTCCAGAGCAAGGGGTTTCATGCAGACATCTCTACCTGAAGTGCTCTGTCCTGGGCTGTGCTGCAGCTTAGGCTGAGTGGTCCAGTCATACACTTGTCAGGTGGGGTGTCTAGTAACACAGGCCATTTTCCAGTGCTCCTCTTTTGCCAAGAAGAGTGATGCCCAAAAGGGCTGGCCAAGCCCACTGAAGCCTGAGTGTTATGACCCTTTTAGGACTGCAGACTGGGGTAGTGCTGGCTATGCTGGTACTCTGACCATTGGCTGTCGCTTCCATATGACTGCCTTCCCACCCTGAAGCCACAGCGCACAGAGCAGGTAGGAGGAAGGAAGCTCTGTAAGCTCCTCGTTCTCTCTTGAGTGACTGTATACAGGCGTATTCTCACTGGCAGGCATGTTGCTTGCCCTGTGCCCTGACTGGAACAGTTTGCCTTAGCAGGGTCTGTACAGTGTGCCTTCATCCCACCTACTCCTGCATCCTTCACTAAGCATATAGTGGATGACACCCACTCCCTGTTCCTCAGTTCCTCTGAACCACCTGGCTAGAGATGGAACTTCTTCTGCTTCCTTATAGCTTCGAGCCTCAGGGAGCACATCAAACCTGTAATTCTCCCTTCTCTCCTTTCTTGTGCTCTTCTAACACCTTTGCCACCCCCAGCTAGGATGTTTGAGAGTTATTTTCTTCCAGGCAGAGCCTGCAGTCCTTTGCCTGTGGCATGGCCACATTACCCACTGCGAGAGCCCTCTCTCTTACCCTTTGAGACAATGCCAGTATCTTGTGGCTTCAATGATGCTTCTAGTTCATTCACCCATTCACCTTGGGTCAAATGTACCACTTTCCCCTTTCTATCCCTTTCTTGCTCTCCTGCAATGGAGGTAAGGAGGCATTTTTTTCTTGGATCAACAGCCTTGCTCAGAACTGCCAACTCCTTCAGCTTCTGGCCTTGCTCTTCATGGGATGGGCGGATCCCAGGATCTGACAGCCAGTACCACTTCTGCCCATGCGAGGCCTGTATCCCCAGCAGTTCTGTCTGTCACTTCTTCAAGCCAAGGACCAGAGAAGACAGAAAATAAGCTTCAGCTGTATTCCCCTGGCTAGACACTTGGTTCAGTGTCTGGTCCAGGGCCTTAGCTCAGCATTACACATCCCTTGACCCTGGGAGCAGGCTAGCTGCTTTAATGCCATACGGTTTTGATCAAGATCTAGAGGCAACTATCCCAGCAGAGGCTAACAGAGGAAGTTTTCCTCCTCTTTACATTGCCAGAGACATGTAGCCCTCAGGCAAAGGCCTCTCATGAGGGAGATAAGACTCCCAAGACTTCTTACCTCGGACAGGTGACGGGCAAGGCATGTGAAGACCTGGGAGCTCTGACTCCAGAACCACTTTCTTCCCCTTCAGCCTCTCAGATGCTCATGATGGTAGAAGCTCCATGTTACTGCCATCCAGCACTGATACCCATAGATCTGGATGGATGAGACAAAAGGAGCAGTCCCGCTCAGGGATGGTTGAGAGAAGGAATTCCTATGCGTCCTTGCCCACTGAGAGGCCATTGTGCTCAGAGATACTGGCAGCACTTGAACCCAAGCAGTCGCAGGTCACACACAGTATTGTTTTCCTCGTGCCATGCCAGCCTGCATCCAGCCTGACCTAGCTTCATGCACATTTCCATGCTGTCACACTCCCCAGCACCAGACTCAAGGGCCACTCTTGCCAGGCTTAGCACTGGCCCTCCTCTTTTTGGGGTGCCAGTCAGAATCTTCCTTGGCATCAGCTTACCCCCACCTCCCTGCCACCATCCTGTTGACACTCGTGAAAGAAAAACAGCGCCCAGAGTGGTGTGCAGACTCTTCACATTTCAGCACAGTACCCTGCAGATGCCTGCATAGCCTGTCTGGACTTGGGATTTCCAACTGGCAGAGGGACATTCATCATCCATAGCCTGCACTGGGAGCTCTTCTGTTTCTCCCTAAGATACCATAAACAGTCAGTCTTCATTGCAAAAAAGCAAGCCCTCCTCTCAGCTAAAACCTTGGTTCAGTCAGTGCCATGACCCTCAGAGGACAGTGAGAATTTCCAGAACTCACAAAAAGTTGCAAACACCCTGAAGATTTCCCCAGAGGGGGAAGTCATACTGCTGGATAGGCTTACTGCTTCAAACAAGGCCCACAAGATTGGCCTTACCAGACAAGACCATACACCAAACCCCTGCATCTTGCCACCCCACTACCAAGAAGGCACATACAGAGTCCCATGCAGGAGGTCCCAAATAGCTCTTCCTCCCTGACATTTGTGACAGTTACCTTGGCCTTTCATCTGCCAGTCAATGATTGGCAAGTATTGCCTCATTTGGACACTTCAGAATCCATTAGGGCCTGTCTGGAGTCTCTCCCCAAGTGAGGGATCCAGCTCTGCTCTGAGCCCTGAGCTTGGTTCTCACAGTGCTGGGCACTGCATTCACTCCCATGTCTTTCCATGAGGAGAGTCTTTCTGGTAGCAGTCATATCAGTAGGGAGGGTGGGTGAGACTCCACCTTCATGGCAAGTCTCCCTAAACCATTTTGTTTCCAAATAAGAGGACCTTCAAGACACACCCAGAATTCCTGCCCAAGGTCCCCAGGGTCTGTCATTTGGGATAGCAAATTAACTTGCCAGCATTCTTCCTGAAGCCCCATTACTCACAAGCAGAAGGATCCCTGCAGTCACTGGATGATGGGAGTTTTCACTTCCTACCTCCAAAGGACCACCTGTGCAAAGAGTTTCTGTCACTCTTAGTATGTGTTACCGAGAGATCCAAGGCACAGCAGTATCAACCAGAGGTTGTCAACTTGGATCTTGGGCTGTATAAAACTATACTAAGAGAGCACCAAAGTGAACCTGCCATATCAAGGTCCATAAGGCTGTGCCGGAGCTCAGGCTACTTCCATAGCATCCCTGGGCGGTGTTTCCATAGGTGGTACCTTCAGGGCAGCCACTGGAGTTCTGTTCATACCTTCACAGAGCCATTGCAGAAGCTTGTAGGGAAGATGCTGCACTTTGGAGACCAGTTGTTCCTCGCTCTTTTCCTAGAGAGACCTAAAGAAACACTTCCAGGCACGTGAGCACTGCTCTGGAGTCACCAGCCAGTGAAAATGTGCATGTGGACAGTTCGTTGAAGGAGCAAATGAAGTTGCTTGTCAGTAACTCAGGTTCTTTGAGACGCATTGTCTACATACACATTTGATTCCCACCCTCCTTCCCCTCTTCCTCATCATCAACTTTATAAAGGACTCCGTAGCTGAGGGGATGCTGAAGAACAAGATGCACAAGCTTCATTTTGCCCCCTTGGCACGGTAGGCACAAGGAGATGTAGGGTTCAACCATGGTCTCCTGTTCCTGCCAAAGGAAACATCTTGGTCAGAGCCCAGGGATATGAGACACACCCACACGTGAATGTGCATGTCAGTAGCACAGCTCAAAGAACGGGTAGCAGTACAGCTTGGAGAACAGTTACTGGGAAGAAACTTCATTTTCACTAGATTTCACAGGCAATATTGTGAGATCCTCTCATGCTGAGAGCAATGTGGGAAACCTTGCTTAGAGCAAGGCAGCTCCCACCCTGACTGCACTACAGCCATGCTGCCCCTCTCTGCACCTATGCCCCTGCTCTGTAGAGAAAAGTGTTGATCTCAAGCAGTGCTGTGTGCTTCTGCCTCCCATTGAAAGTGCTCTCAAAGGTCTGGGACCATTTTTAGGTGATGTCAAAAACTCTCAAAAGCCTCAAAGCCCAGATTCCCTGGAGGCAGCACACTCAGGCTTGAAGGGAAGATAAAACCCACATGCCCGGGTGTAGCAGCGTGGGGTCCTAGGGGTGGCCGTGATTCTCCCTGGTGCCCCTACCGTGCCAAGTCAGTGTTAAAGCACCCTCACATCTCACCCGCCGCATCTTTGATGTCAACAATGTATAAGGGAAGCTGCCTTTTGGTCCCCTCTGACACGGTGCTCTGATGGATCTCGGTCTCTGTTCTGTTTTGAGTAACTCGGTGCACCCCAGCCTTACGGGCTATGCATGGCTCCAGCCGCCCCTGTACTACACCCCAAGCCTCGCAGATGTACTGGATGCTGTTTGGTCGATTTCACTGTCCGCGACCCACGGGCGCTCTCTGGCTTGTCCCGCAGCCTGCGCCCCACTGGCGCTCTGGGGCTTCTTGCCTTGGGGCTCAGGTGGCCGTAGCCGTGCCTGACCCCCAGATCCTCTCCTTGGGTCTTAAACCTCCTGTGGGGCTCAAGCGCCTCGGCCTTACCTGGCCCCCCACAATCCTCTGCTCCTTCTCAGGGCTGGGGTCAGTGCACTCCTGAATGTTGCGCCCTCTCTGGCACCGGGGTCCCCACGCTACCGTGGAGCCCCTATGAGGCCTCCTCCAACCCCTACTAGCCTCACCCGGTCCTCCGGTGTAACAACAACAACGAACAATAACACAAGCCCCTGCGCTATAACACAAAGCTAAACTTCACAGCTAAACATTCTCCAAACCACACCTCATCTCTCACCCACGTAACTAGCGGCTTGTACAGCCAGGCCTTTTTCTCTTTCCCACATTCAGGGCCGAGCTCTTTTCCTTAGTCAAGCAGTACTCCTTCTTCCTGGCTGCCAGTTGAGAGAGAGCACTCGCAGCCTCCAGTCCGTGTCTTATAGTGGTCAGCCCGGCTTTTCCAGTAGTGGGCACCTTAGTGCCCTGCTACACCAGGTCAGCAAGGGGCCTGGCACCAGCAGGGAGGGCATGTGTCCTTTCTCACTGAGGGAGCATGTTGCGTGTTCGGTCCTTCCAGGGCTTTCCCTGTTCCTGCAAGATGAACCAGGAGCAGGTATATTTTAATATTAAACACTACTAAAGTTGAAGCCTCCAAGATGCCCCACAGCCCCATGACTGCAAGTGTCCAGCCTTCCTTTCCCTCACGAGAGGAGTGGTACATCGTGGGGGATGGAGTCTTCCTGGGGAATCCTGCTCACAGAGAGCAGAAGCCTGAAGTGCTTGAGCTGCGGCTCCCAGGCCCCACAGCCTCTTTGCACAATCTGATGTTTCAACTTTTCATATTGCACTGAAAAGGCAGCATTGGTGGGGGGGCAAATCCCCTTCCCCTTCCCCCTCCCCACTTTTCAAATCAGCTCTGCCTTCCAGACCTAGACATCCTTGTGGGCTTGATGACGAGTGGGATTAGTACCCAGCCTCATGGGCCTGCCTCTGTCCTCTTTGTGGCCATTTGGTCATGAGTCCAAAAGGAACAAATTCAAGTCTAAAGCTCCTTATTTATTTATTCAGCAAATGCAAATCCGCGAAGCCAAGCAATAGCCTCCTTATTAGCTGAGTTCAAAGTTATTAATCCACTTCTTAGTTTGTAATGATGTGCAGTATTGTTTGTATCTCTCCACAAATGCACCAAAGCTCAAGGCAAGGCCTGATTGATCAGAGGCAGCTGGATGTTGCCAGCTGTGGGAAAGCAGAAGGAAACACATTATTGTGATGTAACATCAGGCAATGCCCTCAGTGACTTACTAGGTAGGTTTGATATCCCATGCTCGTTGGTAGTCCTGTGCCCTGTGGCATCAAAACTACTGGGCAGGAGCACTGTGAACAGGGCAGGAGTGGCCCAACAAGTGAGGCAGGTGAGATCCCCTACTCTCAGTGTCATCTCTGCCCATTGTAGCACCTGCCGTCCCTCAGCCCCGTGCCTGTTGGCCAGTGTCTGTGTCCTGCCCCATCCATCCCCCTTATGTGTGCGTGCGTGCATGCATGTTGCATGCTCAGTCCAGGACATGGTTTAACCTAATGCCAGGGCCTGGGTCACTGATTTCCTGTGAGGTAGTGGCTTCAGCACACAGCAATACACAGGGGCTGTTCTTTAGCACCACATGGGCCTCCAGCCACCACAAACTAGCACAGGATTTAGCCTCATGGTACTTTCCTTGGGCCAGCCCCCCACCAGCTGCACCTGGCCTGGAAGAATGGCTTAGGCAGTGCCCTAGCGAGGCTTTCTTCCTGCCCTGCAAATGGATTATCTGCCATGGTCTGGCTAGCGTGGACTTGACAGAACAAGACAGCCCACCTCATCCTTATTAAAATGAAATGTGCCTCTGACAAACTGTGTGATGGCATGATCCAGCTGCACCACCCTCTAGGCTACAGAGCCCCTGACCTAGACCAGCTGGCCACAGCCATTTCAAACTGAGCTAGCATGCTTCCTAGCACTATCTCCCCTGATAGGAGATCCAGAAGAGCAGGCATGACACTGTGCCCACCTCCCAGGCAGGGAGCTGAAGCTGCTGCCACACAGGAGAGAGATCTCACCAGAACCGAGAAAGGGCTTTGCCTTTTCCTCCTCTCTGACAGCAAGGCAAGGGCCCTGGAGGCAGGGTCAAATTGCTGTGCGCCCTTACATCCCAGTCCCCTCTTCTCAAATGAGGGCACATTACATCAGGCCATGTTCAGCCCATGGGGTGACCTGGCAGATGCCACAGAATCGCAGCAGAGCTGGCTGTACCCCAGGGCCTGGACCTCAATCACCAGGGCTGTCTGAGCAGCCCTGCTTCCTTGCACAGGACCCTGGGTGGCTGAGTAGTTGTGTGTGGACATCCAGGAGACTCCAGTCATGGTGCCAGTGAGCTGAGATGCCATGAACTCCTGTTCATATTCTTCTGCTGGGAGCAAAACTGGTGCCAAGTGCAAGGGTGCCAGACCCCTGGGGGTAACACCACGATGATTTGGGCACTGAGGAATGCTAGGCTGGCATGGGCGCACCTGGAATGCACCCACGGTTGTCTGCACTGCTGAACCCCTGTACACATAGGTGTGCCCCTGGATTCCTTAACAGGGAAGCGTAGGAGTAGCCAGGACAGGAGCTGTCTCACCCCACTTGAGCTGCAGACCTGAGACATGATGTGTGGCTGGACCCTGGGGCAAGTGAAAGGGGGATTGCCTGGTGCCTGAGCTGGGGTGATTTGGGTTTAACTCTTCCTGGCATCTCCCTTGTCTCCTGCAGCTAAGGAGCTCATTCAACAAGGCCTTCAGCATCAAGAAGGGCCCAAAGTCTGCCTCGTCCTACTCTGACATTGAGGAGATAGCCACCCCCGACTCCTCAGCCCCATCCTCCCCAAAGCTGCAGCATGGCTCCACAGAGACAGCTTCACCCTCTATCAAGTCCTCCACTTCGTCATCTGTGGGCATCGACACTGCCGAGTAAGCACAGCCTTCGCCCCTGGGGTTGGGTTTTCAGGTGCATATAGTTTGTGCATGACAACTGTGGCCCTTTAACCCACCTAGAGACCTGGCTTCAAGACTTGCCAGGTACATCTGACTTACCCCAGGTCTGTGCCAAGCCCTGTCCTCTCACCAAAAGACCCCTGGCTCCTTCGCTTTGCCTGAATCTGTGTGTCAGGATGCAGGCTGGCTGCAAGGAGAGCACAGAACACTGCTCAGATCTTCTGCAGCTGCTGGGTGGAAATTGGGGTTGCCCTTCTTCAGAGCCAGCCCAGGGAACAGACAGTGCAGAGCCAGAGGTACCAGGCAGCTGCCCCCAGGATCCTTCCCTCATCAGGAAGTGGGGAGCTCTGAGGTGTCACGTTGGCACTGTGGATGGTAGGGCTAGCTGTGTAAAGGATGTGGGACTTCAGAGCCCCCACTGTGGTCCCTCCGGGTTGTCCCCTGTCTTGTTTTGACCAGGCTCCTCTGGGCATCTCCCCAATACAGGCTCTTCCAGCCTCACGGGGAGGGGGAGCCAGAGAAGAAGGAGGTGTCGGAGCTGCGCTCTGAGCTGTGGGAGAAGGAGATGAAGCTGACTGACATTCGGCTGGAGGCTCTGAACTCTGCGCACCAGCTAGAGCAGCTCCGTGAGACCATGCACAACATGCAGGTGAGGCCTGGGCCCGCAGAAGCGCTGGCACCACCAAGGAGAGCCCCCAGGGCCCCATACCACATAGGCCCAGCTCACTGATTCATGGCCATCCCTGGAGACTGTCTGCCTCCCCTGCCATTTCCAGCCCCCTCCCTGGTTAGACATATCCACAGGCAGGTTACATGGGTGCACAGGACTGGGCGTGAAGGGGCAGAAGAAGCTGTGGGTGCAGTTTGAGGGTAGGGCCTGGCCCATATGCCCCAATGATCATTGTGGCTGGGCTCTGCCAGCAGCACAGCAGAGCATGCAGCTGTGGCTTTACATCACAAAGTGATAGGCAGGAAGCTGGACCCCTGCAAGCTCAGCCAGGAGCTGCTGTCCCTGTGTTCAGGAAGCCAGAAGGGTGCTGGGGCACTGTGGGTGTGAGAGGCTTCAGGGCGGCAGGTTCTGCTGCCTGGCCCCAGCCCCTGGCTCACAGAAAAGACCCCTTTGGGCAGCCCACCTCTGGCCTCTCAGCCCAGCTCTCTCCACAGCTGGAGGTGGATCTCCTGAAGGCTGAAAACGACCGGCTCAAGGTGGCTCCAGGGCCCTCATCGGTGCCAGGCTCCATCCCAGGACATGTCACAAGTATGTCGGCCTCCTCATCCCCGCAGCGCTCCTTGGGCCTCACCCTCGGTCACTCCTTCAGCCCCAGCTTGACAGATACAGGTACCAGGAGAGAGCAGAGCTAGTGCTTCGGGAAGTGCCCTGTTGATGGGGTAGAAGCTCTTTCCAGGATAGAGCCTGGCTCCAAGTGCTCTACCCCCCTGCCCATTGTGGCAAAGAGCTGGCACTGATTTCTTGTGCCTTCAAGGCTGCCAGGGGGTGGGAGGAGGAGGAATCAGCCAAACAGGATTTGTGGTCAAGAAAAGGGCCTGTGGGATAGAACATCTTGACTTCAGGTAGCCCCAGGGAAGCTGGGACCTCCTGCTTTGGGCTCAGCTCCAAGGATCTACCCTAACAGGCTGCTGGCAGCCAGGAAGCAGGGCTGAGGGGCAGCAGGGGTCAGAACATGTCAGAGATGGCCACAGCAGGCTCTGGATCAAGGCCAGCTGCATGGCCAGGTTCAGTCTTGGGGCAGGGGCCAGGGCCGGGGCCGGGGCTGGGGCTGGGGCAGGGTAGGGCTGAGTGGCGTGCCTCTGCATAACTGCTGCTCCCTTCCAGACCTATCACCGATGGACGCTGTCAGCGCCTGCACCCAGAAGGATGAGATGACACTGCGCATTGTGGTGCGGATGCCACCCCAGCACATCATCAAGGGGGTAAGAGGCAGCAAGAGTAAGTGCCAGGCCTGGTCATGGGGCAGAGGGCAGCCCTGTGGCTGCTGTGGAGGCTGGGCATGGGGGTTTCCAGACCACACTCACTCCTTGTCTTTTGGCTTCCAGGACCTGAAACAGCAGGAATTCTTCCTGGGCTGCAGCAAGGTGAGCGGGAAGGTCGACTGGAAGGTGCTGGATGAGGCCGTCTGCCAAGTCTTTAAGGTACGCAGGGTAATTCACGGAACCTGGGTCAGTTGTGCCCGGGGGCTTTGCAGTCCCTGGTAAACATAGGACAAGCTGTGGCCTGTGGCTTCTACCTCAGCAGTGCCACACAGCAGCTCCCTGTACACCCCCTCGTACTTCACCTAGCCTCATCTCTGCAGGGTGAGTTGGAACCGAACCCTGCCGAATCCAAGCTCTGCCAGACCACACTCCTGGTCTTGCTGCAGATTTCTCTCCACAGGCTTGGAGTGGGGAGTGGGGAGGATCGGAGTCAGACCTCACTGAGTGACTGCGGGAGGGAGGGAAGGGTGGTCAGACAGACAGAAAAAGAGAGAAGTTGAGGCTTAGTGGGTGGAGGAAGGGCCAGTGCCCAGGCCATGGTTCTGGGATGGGTGGGTGCAGAAAAGAAAGAGGTGGTGCCCAGTTGGGGGCCAGAGGGTAAGTGCTCACCTGGGTGAGAGAGTTTGTCTATGTGGGGATTCCTGTGTGCTGAGACTAGAAGGGTGGTTCTGCCTGTCCAGTTAAGGTGCCTGTGTCACCCAGGCCAGAAAACAACATCCAGTCTGGTGCCCATTCTCAACAGATGGTAGCAGATGTTCTCCCAGAGTCTGCCTGAGCCCAGGCACATTTACCTGCATAAGCCATGGACTCTGGTGCCCAAGCAGCTCATCATAGGTTTCCTTCCCTGACAGTGGAAGATGGGAATAGTGCAAGTCCCTGGCAGGGCAGCCATGTGCCTTGCCCCCCACCACTGCCCCCAGGAGCAGGAGCTAAGGACATGCAGGTGTCCCAGGCCAGCCTAGGGCCCACAGGAGACTCCCACTTGTCACAGTTGGGTCTCCCCATGCTGCTGGACAGCACTTGCCCTTGGGGACTGACCTAGAGCCTGGCTGCCATCAGTCCAAGGGGCCAGGCTGGGCTAAGTGGTAAGGACCCCAAGGAAGCTGAGTAGTGACTCCTTCACCTCCACACAGGAGTACATCACCAAGATGGACCCTGCCTCCACCCTGGGGCTCAGCACTGAGTCTGTGCACAGCTACAGCATCAGCCATGTGAAGCGGGTCCTGGACATGGAGCCCCCAGAGCTGCCTCCCTGTCGACGTGGTGTGACCAGCATTGCTGTGACGCTCAAAGGCCAGTACAGTACTCCTGGGGCACCTGGCCAGGATTTGGTCTGTGCTGGCCTCTTCTCTCCCAGCAGAGTCCAGGGATAATGCCCCTGCATCATGGCCATGCTACACCCAAGGAATCTAAGCCTTGGACCCACTGCCAGTCATTGCCTGTGCCTCACAAGAGTTCCCAGTCTAGGGAAGAGCAGAAGTACTGGAGGGTAGTTCTGGGCCTGGGGCTCACTGGGTTGCTGGGCTGGGTAAGGGAGACCCACCTTCTTTTCTACATGCAACCTGCCTTCCCCCAGGACCAGCCCCTGATACAGGAATGAGGTGATGCCAGGCTGGCCAGGTGCAAAAGCTGTCCTTGGGAGGTTGGGTTTCAGCGTGTGGGAGAGGTGCTTCAGGATCACCCTCCCTGTTCTGAGGGCGGGCAGCTGCAGCCCTGCAGGGAAAGGTTTTGGTTCATGGGGGGCTGGAAGGGGACCAGGACAAGAGAGGACCTGGGGTGGGGCCTCAGTGCTGGAGAGTGGGGAGGGCCCTGGCTAGGCTGCAGGGGGAAGCACAGGGAGGGCTGAGGCCCTGGGCACTGACATTGCCTGCTGGCCCCGACAGGCCTGAAGGAGAAGTGTGTGGACAGCCTGGTGTTCGAGACACTCATCCCCAAGCCCATGATGCAGCACTACATCAGCCTCCTGCTCAAGCATCGGCGCCTCATTCTCTCGGGGCCCAGTGGCACGGGCAAGACCTACCTGACCAACCGGCTGGCCGAGTACCTAGTGGAGCGCTCGGCTCGGGAGGTCACCGAGGGCATCGTCAGCACCTTCAACATGCACCAGCAGTCCTGCAAGGTGGGGGCCTGCTGGAGTCCTCATCCTATGCACCCACCCCACTAGCCCAGCCCTACACTGCTGTTCTAGCTCTGGGGTCTGAGCCCCACCACCCCCTGCTGTTGCCTCTCATTCCAACCCGCAGTTCCCTGCTCTCCCAACCCTGTGGTACCCTCATAAGCACAACTCTGCTGGGCCCCACAGTGCTAACCTGCAGTCCTGTGCCAACCCAGGCCTGGCCTCTCCATACATGGAGCTCTATCCTGAAACTCCTGTCCCCCTGCTGTGATGGGCACTCACTCTCCACTTACCCACACTGTTTCATTTCAGGACCTACAGCTGTATCTCTCCAACCTGGCCAATCAGATCGACCGAGAGACAGGGATTGGGGATGTGCCACTGGTCATCCTCCTCGATGACCTCAGCGAGGCTGGATCCATCAGTGAACTAGTGAATGGGGCACTTACCTGCAAGTACCACAAATGGTGAGAGACCCCCGCCCCTGCATCATGGCCATGCTACACCCAAGGAATCTAAGCCTTGGACCCATTGCCAGTCATTGCCTGTGCCTCACAAGAGTTCCCAGTGGCCTATGCTCAGCACCAGGATCCCCTCCAGCAGGTGCAGGTGTTGGGTGCTTCTCTTTGGGGGTGGACACACCCTGACCATCCCTGGTATGCTGTAACAAGAGCCCAGCCCCAGTTACTTCAGGGCTCAGCTGCAAAACTCTCTTTGGGCCCCTGTATCATTTCTTCAAAGGTCAAGATGTACAAGGGCTCTGGGAGAAGGGACTGCACCCTCTGGGCTGCTCGGGGGCAAAAGTGCCATGTGGTAACAGAGGAGGTATGCTACCTGCACTCACCAGCATGGCTGCAGGATTACATCAGCCCCAGATGGGAATGGACTGAACCTGCAATTCTCACAGGGCCCTCCCATCCCATGTTCTCCCTTCTGATACAGAGAGGCCAGGAAGGCAGTGGGATACCTGGGGCTGCTGGCAGGAGAGCAGGGAGCAAGTGGAGGGGCCAGGCTGGGGCCTAAGCATGAGCACTGTGGGATCCCAGTGTGTTTGGCAGCACCACTGCCCACTGGGGGCATGCATGTTCCATGGCTGCAGCTCCCCCTGAACACTTCTCTGGGTCTTGGACCACCCCTGCCACCAAGTGCTACACCCGTGTTGTGCAGGCTGCCCCAGGCTGTGGGGGCTTCCTCGGCTGCCCGAGCAGCAGGGGTGGGCTTGCTCCTGGCACTGGACTCCCAGAGCTAGCAGCTCAGCTGGCCCATTGGGCAGGCCCTTCTCTGAGCCTGCCCTTCTCACAGGGCCAGCAATGAGGCTTGGTGAGGTTGGAGTCATCCCCTAGAAAAGGGGCTGTGGTGCCCCTGGAGTCTTCATGGGAGGAAACCCCAGGTCAAACCCTGACAGTCCAGTCCACAGCCAGGGAAAAGGACACAAACATGGGACCATGGAGATGAGCCCAGTTCCCAGCATTCCCCTCCCAAGTTTCATGGGGGCCTGCTCCACTTGCCCACACTTGTCTGGACTGGGAGTTGCCTGCTGGATCCCTCCACTCCACACTTGCTGAGAGGCAGCAGGCCATTTTTCTCTTGCCTGGAGAGACTGCCCCTTCTCATGGCAACCCCCTGATGACATTAACCCACAAGGCAGGGGCCAGCCATGCCCCCACTTCCTCCCTCTGCCCTGGACCTGGGATCTCAATTTGGAAGCATCCCTGTGGCCCCATGAGCGAGGCTGGGAAGCACTGCCAGCTGCCGAGAGCACTGAGTCTCAATGGCAACCTCTGTGTCTCTCTCCTAGCCCTTACATCATTGGGACAACCAACCAGCCTGTCAAGATGACCCCAAACCATGGCCTCCACCTCAGCTTCAGGTACAAATAATGTGGGCCTCAAGGCTGTCCTGCTGTGGTCCATCTTGACTAGCTCCCCCAGCAGAGCATCACAGACTGTGGGTCACCCCATCAGCACTGCCCAGGCATGGCAGTGGGAGTTTTCCCTCGCTGTTGCGAGGAATTGAGCTCCCTTTCATACTCTTGGCCAGCAGTGAGGAAGGTGTGTTGTAGGGTGTGAGGAAGGAGCGGAATTGGGAAGAGGATCTAGACCTGCTCCTGCTGATCCAGAAGGAAAAACCCTGTTGACCCCTGAGGGGAACAGCAAGCGCTAGAGGAGTGGGAATGTGGAGGACATCTCAGGTCAGAAGCCTATAGGGTCTGAACCGGGGGTGTCATTAATGAAGGAACCCAGTGGGTGATGCCCTGGGGGATAGGGTGCAGCAGATGCTGAGATTGATGCTAGAGGAATGCAGAGGGTGCTGAGGCTCCTGCCATGGGGAGCTGTGGTGGTGCCAGGGCAGCTGGAGGTAGTGCCTAGGCTGAGTGCCCAACAGGTGATACACAGAGGAGCCGGCAGCATGAGCAGGGTGCTGGGGAAGAGGGTTGTGACTCCTGCCTGGAGGTACAGCCCTGAGCTCTGCCCTCCCCCAGGATGCTGACTTTCTCAAACAACGTGGAACCAGCCAATGGCTTTTTGGTGCGTTACTTGCGTCGGAAGCTGCTCGAGTCAGACACAGACATCAACGCCAACAAGGAGGAGCTGCTGCGTGTGCTGGACTGGGTGCCCAAGCTCTGGTATCACCTGCATACGTTCCTGGAGAAGCACAGCACCTCGGACTTCCTCATTGGTATGGTGCGGCAAGGCACGCAGCTCCCCGGGGGGCTCATCCAGGGTCTGTCCCTGCAGGCAGCTGCCCTGGTTCTGGTCCCTGCCTCCCCGTCCAAAAGGGGAGAAGCCAGAACCAAATGCTTTGTCCTGTCTGGGGGCTGATAAACTCCTTGGCAGCCCCCTCAGTATGGAGGGCAAAGCAGCCCCTTGCACTTCTTGGATTCAGCCTAAAGTCCTGCAGCTCAGAGTCAGCAGAGCCTCTGGGAGCCCCAGCCCACAAAGAATTCCCCTGGGTTGGATGAGGGCATCGCTGTCCTGCTGGTGGGGATGCTGCCAGCTCTGCTGCAGTGGGATCTTTTAACTCTTTCCCTGGAGGAGCAATTCCACTACCTCTCCAAGCACCAGCTCTGCTGGGTCAGAACCCGTAGCTGGTTACGAAGTTGTATGTAGCATTCTCCATGGAAACTGGCTGAAAACCGCTGTTACCATCAATCATAGGCTGAAGTATTTCTGATTGGTAGGTAGAGGGTTTGTTGTAGCCATAAGCCTTGAGAAGCCTTTAGCACAGCCAGGAGCAGCCAGCTCACTCTGAATGCTGGGCCATGGAGACAGCCTCAGCATCTGGGCAGGTTTGCACAGATGCCATGTGCCAAGTATTGCACAGCTCCATGTGGAAGTTGTGCTGCCACGTGCTGTGTCCCATTCCCCAGCAGCTGCTTCCCCACCACAGTGCCACACCTGACACGGCTGCATTTCCCGGGAGTTCCCCCTAGGGTTAGCAAAGCCATGGAGCCCTGTCTGCTCTGGTTCCCTGCTGAGTCTGGGGCCGCTGCAGAGCACAGCTCACCCTACCCCCTACTCAGCACACCCAGAAATGAGCAGCACAGCCTTTAGAGGCACACTGGGTGTGCAGCTCAGGCTCTGTGGCTCAGACATGGCTCTTGGGAGACACCCAGAGCTGCCCCAGCTAGCTGCATTGGGAAGAGGGTCTGATTTCCAGGCTGCATGCCAAGTAAGCAGGAGCAAAGGGGTGCAATGTGCTTCTCAGCAGCACTCCCAAGCTGGGGAGCCTGTGTTGACATGGACTGGGAGTGGAAGACCCTGCCCATGGAAGAATGATTTCGGGGAGCTTCCTGCATGCAGTGCTGGCAACCTCCTCCTCATTCCCTCCCTAACAACTCCTGTGACCCACACTGCTGTGTGAAGCAGTGGCCTCTATAGGGATAGACTGGCCAGGGTGCTCAGCCTTCCTGCTCAGAGGCCAGCAAGAATCAGGAAAAAACAGCCCTGCAGCTGTGCTGGCCCTGACTGCAGTTGGGGCCAAGACTACAAGTGGGGCCAGTCAGTGCCTCTGAGGGAAACAGATTTGCCAAGCTGGTATTCCTGCTGAGGCGAGTCAAGGCTGTGGTGGGACCCATTATCCCTCAGCTACTGAGCTGGCTCCTCTGAGAAAACTGAAGGCAGCTGGAATGTAGCAGTGGGGTGGGGCGGTGCCTGCCACCCCGGTGACCTGCATGGACCTAGCGGATCTGTACCTCTGCTCTGCTCACAGGCTTGTCCTTGTCCATCCCCTTCTGCAGGCCCCTGCTTCTTCCTGTCCTGCCCCATTGGGATTGAAGATTTCCGGACCTGGTTTATCGACCTATGGAATAACTCTATCATCCCCTACCTGCAGGAGGGGGCAAAAGACGGGCTCAAGGTACCCCCACCCCAACATTAGCCAGAACCTCCTCTTGCCCAGCATGGGCTAAACAGAGCAACATGTTGCAGCCCAGTTCATACTTTGTCTGGTGGGGGGATAGCTGATCAGAGCAGTTCCTATGGCTGCAACGCCAACACTGCCTCCTAGACAAGGGCATCCAGACAGCATGATCAGCAGCAAAGCAGTTTGGGGAGGGAGGCAGTGGAAGCCGGTAGCAAAACTGGGGTGAATGAGGAGCCCAGGGCTGAGAGAGCATGGTGCTATGTGCTGGAATTGAGGAGCATGGGCAGAGGCATAGGGGCAGGCAGGAGCAGGGCTGGGATAGTGGGGAGCCATGAGCTGGGCTTGAGGGACACCAGCAGAGCTGGGTGTTAGATGGTATCCCCTTCTTTCCTGCTCTAGCCCAGGTATTGGTCCCACAGATCCAGAGTACCATGAATATTGAACCCAGAGCACCACCAGCAGGGGAGAACCTGCTCTTCACCCTATCTATGTCTCCTTTAGGTCCATGGCCAAAAGGCAGCCTGGGAGGACCCTGTGGAGTGGGTCCGGGACACCCTGCCCTGGCCATCAGCGCAGCAGGACCAGTCGAAGCTGTACCACCTGCCCCCTCCCACCATCGGGCCCCACAGCACAGTCTCCCCCCCAGAGGAGCGGTCCGTCAAAGACACCACGCCCAGCTCCTTGGACTCTGACCCCTTGGTATGGTCCACTCCCAGGGGGAAGCATGAGTGTTCGGGGGGCCAGGACTCATGAGACTGTGGGGGGAAGGGAGCCAGAGACGGGGGGTGGGTTGCTGTGAAACTGGAGAGAAGGTCTAGGCAAAATTTTCAACCCTAACATTTTCTCAGTAAAAAACACTGGTTTGACAACACAGAAACATGCCCTGGATGTGCTGTTTTTTCTAAATTTTTGGTTGGAAAATATTCGGCAAAGAATTATAGCAAATGTGAGGCAGACAGCTCTGGTATTCTCCATGCTCAGTGCTTTGATGACTTCACATATCAACATGTCCTTAAATTTCATGTTTACGAACGAAAAGAAAAATTAAACTCAGAATCAAAATCTTCTATTTCAACTGTCTACGAACAAAACATTTCTGTCAACTGGAGAATTATTTTTTGTTTTGGCTTTGGAGCTGTAGAAGCCATTTCTGGGTTTCTTTTAAACATTTTTTTATATTTCAAACTTCCTGATGAACCCAGAAACCCCTGCTTTGCCCAGGCCTCACTTCATGTGTGCAGTGTAGGCCAGGGCACTCACGGGAGTTATGGAGAGAGGTCTGGGCTGCCAGAGGTACTGGCAGGGTGGTGGGGAACGTAGTCTGTCCTTCCCAGGTGTCTGCACACGGTGGCACAGATGCCCTCCAAGGAGTGACCCAGTGGGCTGAAGCCCTTGGAACCACATTGATGATGGAGGGGCTGTTTGATTGCACCCCATCATGTGCTGGTCAGCTGACAGTTCAGCTCTGGTAAGATGGCCAGGGGTCAGCACCACTTTATCTTCTTCTTTTCATACTCTGTGAAAATTGTACCATCCAAGTGCTGAATCCCTTTGCCCATCTTCCCTGGGCCTGGAAGCAGATTGGAAACCCTACAAGCCAGTGAGCAAGCAGAGTCTAGCGCTAACCCAGTGGCTGGCTGGACTGGCCCTGTTTGCACAGATCTCTTGCACATCGTCTGTGCGCCTTGCTCACGGTCTCCCTAGTTCTGGTGAAGGGAAACCAACCAGAAAGGCCCCACCAAGGAAGAAAGGTAGAGCGCTCTTGTACAGTGATGGATAGATCTGGCAAAGAGCAGGGACTTAAAGTGACCACAAGGGGCAGGAGGCTGGGCTGTTGTACTGAGCAGCAGATGAGCCCATGACCTGCCTTCCGTGGCACCCTTAGCTTTGAGGGCAGCCAGCTGGTGAAGGCCAGTCCCAGGATCCTGCTGCCGCCAGAAAGGTCAGAGAGCCACTGTGGGCCTCAGATGATCCTCGTGAAAGAGCCCTCCTCAGAGGTCTTTTTCCCAAGGTGGCAGAGGCATAAATGAGAAAAGTCTGAATCTCTGGGATGGACAGGGCCAGCCTGGAATGGCTCTGAGCTGACAGGGTATTTTCTTTCTGTGATACTTCATTATAAAGAATTGCCAACCTGGCATGGCTGGAGGTCTCCCGGGAGGACCTAGGGCCACAGACTCAGAGACTAATCCAGGCAGCTTCTCCCCAGTTGTTTAGTTTCCTCAGTACTCATTTGAGGCAACGAATTTTAAACACCTGGGACAGAAGTCCCTCCCTCTGCGCTCATGCAGCAACACTGGCTCAACGCTGGTGATGTCAGGATGCCACAGTCTCTCTTGGCTCCTGGCAGTGAGGCTGGACAAGAGCTGGGTTTCAAAGGCACAGAGCAAACACTTTGGAGAAGTTGGTGCCTTTGGGTTTGCAGGCACATGACCTGTTGCTTCCTGTCAGCAATGCTGCTGGAGTCTGCTAGGCCCAGGAATTCCCAACATAGCTACTCATCTCGGGGGTCTCAAGATTTGGGGCCTGGCTTGGAGCAGCTTTGTGCTGCTTCTTCATGGGGCTGGGGAGGATCCTGAAGCTGGGGATGCCTGCATGTCAGGGGAGCAGGACCGTGGCAGGGCTGGGGCTGGGGGGCAGGATGGGTCTAGCTTGGGGCTCTTGGTCAGGAGTGAAGGGCACTGGGCATCTCCTGCCATCAGAGCCCCTCACCAATCTGTGCCCTCTCCCCTGCACAGATGGCCATGCTGCTGAAGCTCCAGGAAGCAGCCAACTACATCGAGTCTCCAGACCGAGAGACCATGGTGGATCCCAACCTGCAGTCGACTCTGTGAGGCCCCTGGGCCGTGCCGGACTGGGAAGGGGAGGGCGTTGCTGTTGGCAGCCACTGCTCCCACGGGGTTGTTTTTCTTTTCCTTTGGTATCCCTGGAACGTGCAACCCGGGGCTGGACAGCAGAGGGGAAGCAGCACTCGGGGACTTCCCCTTAGGCACTGGGGCAGCTGGGCTCACCCCGGGAGAGCGCAAGGCTCCTGCCTCCCATCCTGACTCTGGTGGTAGGCAAATCCTGGTTTCTTTTCTTGGTTTTTCTGTCTCTATTGCAAACTCCTGGTCTTTGGGGGTGGGGAGGGAAGGATGCAGTCAGACCAGACCCCCCCAGCGCCAGGCAACCTCTTCTGCAAGAAGGACCCTGCATGGTGGGACCCCCGCCTGGGGTGGCCCAGGGGCGGGGAGGAGCATGTGGTTGCAGAACAAGAGATCTGTTTTTTTATAATAAAACAAACAGAAACAGGGTTGGGGGGAGCAAATCGAAGAACAAAGTCCTGGTGAACGTGTCCGAGTCGCCTGGCAGAGAGACCCAACAGGCAAAGGTGCTGCCACCAGCTCCCAACATGTCTCCCACCAGCCACCCGGCCCGGTGCAGCACATGTGAAGGCCTGCAAGGAAGAGGACTCTCTGCTCCGTCTCTGTGCGTCCCATATTTAATCTGCATGGCCGCCATTTCAACCAGGACATCCCAATAAACCCTGCTTTGGTTCTTTAATCCCCCCTACCCCCTGCCTTTTATTTTGGCCGAGTTGAGGTCTCCCTTTGTCCCTCTTTGGTTCTGGTTTTTTTCTCCCCGCCTCTGCCCCGTGCCCCTGAGGCTGTGGCCTGAGGCATTAGCCTTTCATCACGTCTGTTGCTTTGATTTTGTTCCTTTTAAACCATTTGTTTCCATAGCTGTTGGCTCCTCCATCGCAGTCACCTCTGTAACAAAACTGGTGCTCACTGGACAATCTCCAGTCACTGAACCCACCTCATGGGTTCTTACAGCTTGCATGAGACCTACCTTGGCTTTGATGGGCAGCACAGCAAACACAGGGAAGCACAACAGGCCAGGCAGGTGCCTCTCCCCCTCCCAGGCTTCACTCCTTTAAAGCACAAGGTTCCTGTGGACAGGGGCTGGATGAGGGGGACCAGGAGACACCATCACCATTTCTCTGTTGTTGGTCACCAGTGCATCAGCATTCCTGGTATCTCAAAGACCAAGTGAGAGGCCAAGGATGTTGATGACCACCTGCTAACCTAGTATGTCTGATGGCTTCTGTTCTCCATGCCCATCCTAGGCTGGCTGAGGTAGGGAGAGTAGCAAAGATCGTGGTGCCCAACACCCAGACCAGCCTGTGCTGCACTGCCCCCACACACACCCCCTGCCCCATGCACTGGGGGGCTGGGGCCTGGGGGCAGTGGGTTGGGAGTGAGGGGCACTGGGTCGGGACTGGCCACCAATGTTTACAAATGGGTCCTGGTAGAAAAAAGGTTGAGAACCACTGATCTAGACAAGGGATCACTAGCTAATGGGCCCACAAGTAGAGCGGCATCTGCTGCTGCCCCAGCTCTGTTCCCCAGCTCAGGACTTACCTGAGAAAGCCACAAACAGACCTTGCGTTCTCCAGCCCAGAAACTGATAGGGAGTGGGAACCCTACCAAAGAAGCTGTCCTGCTTTGCCCTGTGGATGGAGTCTGTGCTGCTCTCCCTGCAAGCTGCCAGACTGAGGAAAGACCTTGAAATGAAATTATGCATCTTTACAAACAAGAGCTTGTTGTGAAAAGAGGGGAGCAATCATGGTGCTGCAAAGTTGCCTTAATACCTCCGCCGCATGGAGCAAGTGTGAGGGTGCAGCACTGTTCACAGGGCCAGCCCAGCAACCTGGTGCATATTGTCCGTGGCCATACCACGTGGAATAGTGGTGGTGTGCACTAGGCCCAATCCCAAGCCCGTTAGCAGTGAACAAGAGTTGACATGAGCATGCCCCAGGGAGCAAGGGGTGCATTTTTATCTCTTCTGTGTTGGGCCTATCCTGTGCCTGCTGTCACTCACTCACGTCCCATTGAACACGGAGCTCAGCCAGCGGCTGGTGCTTCTCTCCTGGAAGCTGAACAGGGTCTGTGCCCCATGCTCATCCCCACTGGAGTGCTGGGTTGGGTCCAGGTTGGACTTGGTCACCTGGGAACTCCTTTTGCCCAAAGAGTGGTGTAGGGTAGACCAAGTCTTGCCATCTTCCCTAAGCACATAGCTGCTGAATGCCTCTCGGGGCTGCATGGTTGGTTCCTGGTCACAGGAGCACGTTCCTTGCCTCTTCCCAGCCACCCTGGCCATGTTCTGCTTGGTTCTGATGTTGCTGCTGTCTGTGATCTGGCTCTCATGACCCTTCATTACCAAATTGGCTGTCTGGTTACAGGGCCTGTAGGAGCCCAGAGCCTAGATCACACTTCATGGGGAGAGAGCTGGAAACAGGACGTTCCCTTGAGGGATCACAGACACCCACAGCATCATGGAGGTGGAACTCGTTCCCCTTGTGCCATCCACAGCCAAACCTGCAAGGTTTAGCCTGTCTTAATACCTGCAGCTCCATGGGGCCTGCAGCTCTATGTCTCTCAGCTCACAAACCTTACTGCCACACTGAAGGAGGAGGCGAGGGGCATCTGGTAGGGAAGCATGGACAGGTGCAAGGAACAGCAGTAGGTCTGACCATAGCTTTCCATCTTGAAGCCTGTTAAGTAGAAATTACACTAATGCTGAAACCAATTCCACTTTGGCAATAGAGCAGAGTGGTTCAGGGGTCGGGCTTAGGAGAATAGGCACTGTCTGCTGTTACAGGGACTCCCGAGGCACCTGTCCATGCACAGCACCCTGGGGTCCATGTCCTCCGACATCACAGCAGGGAGCTCCTGGCTGACAATGGCCAGCTCTGCACTGGGGAGTGAAGGAGAAATCTGCTGGGAGACACTCATTGCACAAGCTAGTACACTGCACTGGGGAGTTGGGCTGGAACCTGGCTCTCCCCAGAGCAAGAGGCAGCTGCGAGGCCAACGTGTCCCCAAGATCCCTGGCTCCTTCACTGCTCCAGTGCTCAGGAAGGAGGTGTTTCCATCTTTCTTATTGGCTGTTGCTTGGAGATAATGCCACAAAGCCCATCCTGCCTTTCTCTACCGAGTGCTATCTCAGCATGCAGGGCATGGCATTCTTGCTTCTCTCTCACTCGGAGGCTGCCAGTTCTGACCTGGGCCTGGGCACAGAAGTCTCTGTCCCTGCTGCTATCAGAGCCCTTACAGCTAATACCAGAGGCCTTTTGCTGTAAGGAGAATCTGGCCCGGTGCAATATCCCACCCACAGCTGCCGTGCTGGGGTGGGTTTCCCGCTCCAGTGTGTTCATGATACCTCTCAATGGCAGGCACACAGCTCAGTCCTGTCCCTGTCAAAACATCCCCATTGGTGACACGTGCAACTCTGCGGTGCTCATTTCTCTGTGTGCGTGTGCGCGTGTGTAACCATAAATACCTACGTCTCAGCGATGTAGCCAACACTGGACTCTGCCTATGCCACTGGGCAGGGAGGTGGGTGTGACTGGGGAAGAAGGGTCATTGGCTGGTTTAATGCAGGTGAACCCAGGTGATTGCCTCTGGGTTTAGCTCTAACTATTCTTGGATACCGTTTGCCTCAGATCCATTGAGATGATGGGCTCAGTTCTCAGGGGAAAGCCATTGGCACAACACTGTATTGGCCTTACTCTGGCCAGTCATGCCAACTGAGGACCTGACAGCAGGAATAAAGCATTGACAGTGGAGAGATTATGCCAGAGGCTCTTAATGACATGTCTAGAGCCAGTTTGGACAGAGATGGGGAACATCCATATGGTCCCATCAAGTCTCCCCCTGCAGTCCTGTTCTGTGGGCAATGTATTATGGGTCTCAACTGTCTCTAACGAAGACTCTGCCCACTCTTCCCTAGACCACACACTAGCAGAGCTCACTGTTGAAAGATCTCCTTTGCCAAGCCTCCAGTGGCGCAGTCCAAACTCCCTGGCATTTATGCCAGCCCAGTATTTGCAAGTAGAATGGCCTCCATCTTTCTAAGCAAAGGTATTACTATTTAGTTCTCATAATTCTCCCTTAGAATGTGAATCCCCCTTGCCCCATTCTCATGGGAGCTGCTCTCCTCTCAGTCCTCTTTGTGATACTATTATTTTGGCAGTGCCTGCAGCCTCTGCTTGGATTCGGGCTCCTGGAAGCTGGGTGCTAGACAAAGGCGGATAGAGATGCAAGCTCTGCGTAGAATAATTTACAACCTAAGAAAAACGACATTTTTCTGGAAAAGTTGGGGCAGCCCAGCTGCAAGGTCAAGCCCCTTTTCCCAGTACTTACACTCAGTGAGTGTGTCTGCACAAGATGTTTACTGCAGAGCTGACTAATTAACTCCATAGTAAAATGTCAGCATCTATATCTGCTGTGCTATTAGGCTGAAATAAACTAATTAACTCTGCCATAGGATAGTATGTACATGTAGATGCAGGCGGCTCCCACACGGAAGCACCTCATGCCCCAGCTAGCCCCTCTGCAGCATGCTGAGCTGGGCAGAAGCAGCTCTGAGATGGCAAACTGACTCCCCAGGACCCTCTGCCAAGTGGGACTGCTCTGCCCCAGCTTAACTGTGCTGTGGTCCCAGGCGCATGTGCAAACAGATTAGGGAAGGCAGATGCTATTTTAGGGGTCTGGGCTTTAAAGGTGTTGAGGAGCTGTCACTTTTCAACCTGAAAGTTTAGGCCTTAATTTCTAGCTTGCTTTCACCATGTTCTCACCCTCCACGTTAGTGTTGCAGATTTGAAAAATGGACACATCCTACTGGAACCTCAATATCACTGTATCATGCACTGCAAATATTTCAGTCTATGCAAGTGTCAGGGCTGTTCTCATCCCTCAGATATGATCATATTGTCGTAAATGGTGAACGTTACAACCATTACACTCATCAGTACCCCTGACACCATTACTGCATTGGTCAAACTCCACCTTGGTGTCATTGTTGTCTGCTGTGACACATTCACCTGTAGAAGCACAGTTGTGTGTGGAACAGGCCTGAGCCCACACAGTTTAAGGCACCCAAAGGTGGAAAGCTGCTCAGATGCTGAAATTTTCTTTCCAATTCACACAGCTCTTTGTGCATTACTGCGCAATGTAGCCACATTGACTGTTGTCTGCCATATAGTGTGCAAGCGTCAAATCTGCTGTACAGACATGATAAATAGCATGTGTCTGGCAGCACTGTCATCACCAGATGTCATTACTAATGCAGCAGTCAGTCCTTGGGACATGTATACAGTACTAGGTTGCGTGTGTCCCACTGTGCAGCTATAAAACAGGCTGTCCCTGACACCAAGCACAAATGTCAAAGCCTCCAGCGTCCCAGAGCAGAACACAGGAATACCGTTGAGACAAGGCTGGCCCAGCTCTATAACTAGTGGGGATGAGGAGTGTGGAGCAGGAGGCCTGCAGTGGAGGACTTGGGGACACTGGCAGAGCTGTGTGTGAGGAGCCCTGGGCTGGGATCGCAGGCTGTGGGTTGGGGCTGAAGGCAGCACTGTGGCCAGGGGAAAGCCCAGGACTGGAATTGAAGCAGGCTGTGGGTTGGGATTAAGAGCATGAGCAAAGCTGGGGGCAGAAATAAAGACGTGAGGCTTTCCAGGAATGGGGAACATGGCAGCCTGGAGCTGGGAGCACTGA